ATCCTTTGAACTTTCAAATTGCTTGCAAATCCGTCCTCACTATAAACTGCATTTTTTCAAAAATGAAAGACAAAGTCCCGCTGCTTGGCTTAACCAACACAGTCTACTCCATCAATTGCAACAACTGCAACCAAATATACATAGGTCAGACCTCCAGATCTCTTAAAGGAAGGATTACATCACACAAAAGTGATGCTAGGCTTCATCCTGAAAGATGCGCTCTAGCATCTCATGTTAACACAACAGGGCATTCTATGAATTACATAAGTATAAAAGTTCTTGATAAAGAAAAACACCTTTCCAAACGTTTATTCCTGGAAATGTCCCACATCTTCATGAATAACAACTGTATCAACAAAAAGACAGATGTTAAACAACTGAGTGTCATTTACTCATATTTGCTAAACTGCGAAACATTGGAGAACTTACATATCTCCCCAAATTTCGACTCTTCACAACCATAATTAGAATCTGTGTTTTGGCCGATTCCACCAGTAAATTTCATTCCACTCAAAATATAATAATTCTCTTCTCACGATTTATTAATAATTGTTAATTTAAATTCCCATTAATTAAAATATAGTTTATTCAACTGCCTCTGGTCGGTTTAACAAATTCTTACATAAAATTCTGAAAATCACATCATCTGAAGTGATTTGGCAACGTTTGGCACACGCCCACAATTCGTTCCATCTTTCAACACAGACATTGACATCCTTCGGCCTTCTGTCAAAGGGTTTCATCTCACTCATTATTCCATGACCACTAATTTGTGCAATCATCAAGAGGCTTCACGATGTAATGCTCTAACGTTTTTTAAATAATTTTTAATCTGTTTTTAACTTGTTCTTGTCATATTTTATATAATTTTGACCATTGTACAATCTATCCAGCTCTCACCATGTTACTGGACGTTTCCCTCATCCTATACGTAAACAACAATTAGCAACATCCTCACATACTACTGTAAGTTGAGTCAATTTAAATTCATTTTACACTTTTGTTGCTACTGTTATCATTGTAATTGCAGCTCCTGATGATGATGGCAAAGTCCATTGAAAGCTAGAGAGAATTAAAAAAAAAAGTATAAAGAGTCTTAAATTTTGTCGAAGTACCCAAAAAAGGCGGAAGCTTTAATTTTTCACCTAACTGGTCTAGACGACAATGACCACGTCTCAAAATATATATATATATATATATATATATATATATATATATATATATATATATATATATACAATTAATTGTTAATTGAGAAATAGGCAAATTTGTAGGCTTTAGTTGACTCTTTTGACGATAAAATCAAGCTTTCGGCATGCTCTATGGAGCCTTCATCAGGATTCTGAAAACACAATAGTGATGTTAGCAACCAATACGGGACCGACTTAAATTGTCAAAAAACTTAACTCGTCGTTGAGGTTGCAGCCAAAAGGTGTTTCAAAACGAACGTAGAGAAGATAGAACTAATTACAAATATAAAAACAATCGGACGGAGACATTGGACTTGTTGATAACGACAGATACCTTCGTTATGTGTTAAAAATATCAATACACCCGAACATATTAAAAATTATTAAACATGAGAAGACATTTTAGGGAAATAATCGGAATGCAGTTTCTAACCTCCTACTTCCGCTGCACATCCACCCTTTCATAAGGAAGACAAACAATAATATCGTCCACACACTTTTTTATGAAAATTAGATTGTATGGCAATACTTGAGTAACAATATCAAGCAGGTCATCCATTACATATTCTGCCAAAATTGGAGATAACACAAAGCCCATGGAAAAACCATGTGTTTTTGAAAACACTTTGTTATTAAAAGTAAACAACAGAACAATTATTTTACTTTTGTTTAATAATTTTTAATATTTTAAGTTTTGCATATGGAAATAAAATAACACGGTAGGTAGTTTTAAATGACTTTATTGTTTTTCGAAGTATTCTCCCCGACGATTAATACACATCTGCATGCGCTCGAACCAATTTTCGAAGCACTTATTCCACTTGTTTGCTGGCAGATCCAAAACGGCATTTTTGAATGCGTCAACTGCTTCTTCTGGTGACTGGAACCTTTGACCACGCAGTCTGTTTTTAATTTTCGGGAAAGTAAAGAAATCATTAGAACTTAGATCGGGACTATATGGACGATGGTCCAATAATTCCACGTCTTCTTCCGTTAAATACTGCCTTGTTTTTTGGGTAAATCCACGATTCATCACCACTAACAATGCTGTATACATTTTTTGAGGTTTCCGGAATTGAAACGGTCGAGCGTTTTTTGACACTAATTAACCCTGGCTGCGGTACCCAACGAGAAACTAATTCTTCATGTAAAATTTTTTGAACTGAGGTCTTTGAGATCTTCAAGGACGCCTCAATCTCGTGATATGTCACATGACTATCTTCAATGATGAGTTTGCGCACAGCATCGGCGTTTTCCTGGGTGACTGCCGTTTTTGGTGCACCCACCCTGGGATCGTCGGTAAGACTCGCCTGTGCACGTTTGAATTCTCCATACCAATGGGAAATTGTCGACTGATGTGGCGCTTCGTTGCTGAAAACAGACAGTAACTCAGCAAGGCATTCTTCGAAAATGTTCTCGGTTGAATTCCATTTTTCTAATGACTTGGTGACACTTAAAAATTCACTGTAGTGAAAACACTGCACGTATTGTTGTGAAACTTTGAATTTAAGTTTACTAAAGAGTGAGGTTGAGATTCAGTACTGACGTTCGATCCGCGCGGCCTACTATGTTTCTATATGCAAAACTTAAAAGACATCCCTCGTACTTCTCCAGAAAACGTCAACCGGGTTAACTTCAAACTTCGTATACGCTGATCGAAATTATTACGTCCCCAGAGGAACTGGAACTAGACTTCTTCTCGCCGGTTCTTAGGATGACTGGAAAGCTATTCACAAGTGAGCTAACTATCTAGAAATTATTTCTTGGTGGCTACGAAAGCTTCCATGAGTCTGACTTTTTTTTATTCAAATATAATTTCAATTTTATACTATCACGCTCAAAATAATTTCCTTCTGAAGCCATACTGCGCGTTCTCCCACCCCTCATAGAAGCTTAAGCTCTGATACTAGAATAACCTTCAGCTTGTCGGTTACAGCCATTTGATGTTTTCGACTGTCCCAAAATAAGCTCCTTGAGGGGATTTTCCAACTTCGGAAGAGAAAAAAGTCACAAGGAATAAGGATGAGGAGGAGTCACCTGTATGTTTTTGTTGGCCAAAAACTCGTTAATTTACATTGCTGTGTGACAAGGAGCATTATCGTGATGTACTGAAGGCGGGTAATATGTTCCCCTGTCTCCAGACCAATCCCGTCGCCTCCGGTGTTGCCAGATCGAACGCTATTTGCAAATCTTATTTCTTAATATTTCTGTCAGTTACTTGAGCCAACCCTCAATCGTAGATTCTTCATTTTCAGCTCCAGAACATTTGATGGTGAATTGGAAAGAGTAAAACTTCAATCAAATGAATTAAAATAAGAAATATTGGGTTCAAAGAGATGGTGAATGCAACCACTCCTCGAGACTTGATTGTGCTGGCACATGCACGATTTTAAATGTAGCAAAGGAAACGGGACGCTATATACGTATATATACGAACAGGATACACGATTTATTGGGCAAGACCATAAAATATAAAACATCAAACTTATTTTTCGCTTCCGTTCCTTTAGTGTAATTATATTTCCAACCATAAAATATACATTTTAGCGCAGAGAGTTACACGAATTTTCCAGAAGTAGATATCGAACGTTGCATAACGTATTTGCGACGCCATGTTTTAGATCTAAAGTAGAATTATTTATATAAAGATATGACATATTGGGAACCCTACCAATAATATGCAATGCCCTAAACCTTGGGAAAGGAAGGCCATTTTGCTCTAGATCAATTAATGTTTATTCACTTCTTTCATCCTCAATAACTAATGTAAGTAGTGGTAGTAATAGCAGATATTCATTTACTCCATTATATAAGAACAATAAGAGAAGGACAATGCCTGTACATGGATCAGTTGTATGTGGGAATGTGTAACATTCCAAAAAGAAAACAAAAAAGTTAAAAGAAATTGAAAGAAAAATATATATTAAAGAGGTGTATAAGTAGAAGATAACTAGTAATGAATATTTGAGAAGAGTTCAATAATATGTTGTCTTAAATTATGTGCATTTCGAACTTGTTTAAGTTTTTGGATAGATGTTCATTTGGAGCCAAATGGAGAAGAGATCGCTTTATTATGATCTTATGAGGTTTAGCGACAGTTTTTGCATATCACTATACTATATACTATGTGAAGAAACTTACGTAAGTGGCGATTCTGTCAGAATAATATTCTTTTCGAAATACCGATTGTTCAAGTCTTACTTAATGTAAAACTAAAAGTCTCGTTTGCCACTTACTAATTGCAGACTGCACACACCTCAGTTTCTGCAGGTTTCTCCAAATCAACATGATATATTATCTATTGATACAAAAATAATACAGTTTGAGCGGAAAATATTTGTAGAAGGCAGTAAAGGTATTACAGAGTAGGATGATCCGTGGTATTTTGCAAAGCTACTTATCTTGGATTTCTCAATGCATTTTCCATGCCAGAAATACTGTCAGTACTTTTTTAAATCACAATGTGTAATACAAGTGCTGATTTTAACTTTTTTAGTCTCCTCCTGGCTGTTGATCCCTCTGTTCAATTTATGATCGTATCTTCGTATCCAAAGTGTTCAGCAACGATAACACATATCAGCTCATCATTGAAGGTGCTTCCGCACGTATGCGGCACACAGGCAGTTGCGTTGATAGATACGATTACTGCGACTCGACTGAATGAGAAAACTGCCTGTGAGAGGTGGTTTCATATTTATGTGGTACGGCTTTCCAGTTCCCGATCCTTACAGTTTACCTACGTGAGCGACAGCTTAAACTTCACTATAAAGAGATATAAAAAAATATGCATAATTAAAAGAAAATACCTACCTCATGAGATAAGTTACACTTCCATTCCTATATATCTTCAGAGAAAAGTGAACGGGAATCAGAGGATCCTTAAAGTCTCCGTGCATGATGAAATAAGTGTCTGGCAGCCAGATGTCGCTGTGGTGGTGGATCGCGTTTAAGTAGGGGTACTGGCTCTGGTTAGAGTACCTCAGACGCGGATCATACCATTGTTGTTGCAACAGAAACTCCACTTCGTATTTCTGAAAAACATCGAGAAATTTTGTACTTATTATATTTGAACAATCTCATTTTTATCTATGTTTCTTAGTTTAGGCCAATTTCAGAAAGAAGATCATTTCCAAATGGTTACAGTTGCCACAGTGTCTCAAATTCATTGTTACCTACTATTATTGAAATTACATAAATTATTATGAGAAAATATATAATTGATAGTGAAGAGTATAAGATCATGTTTTTTTTTTAAAGAGTTTGACAGTCTACGAGAGAGTCATTTTGGACAGCTCTTATAGGTCAAAAAGCTCCACTTATAAGCTACAAATAGCCTGAAGAATGAGGAATTGTTGCCGATTTTTCAGAAACCACACATGTGTCGGTGGTTCTTTGGACCATTCCGTATATATTTATGAGTTTTAAAGGTTTTAGAAAGGTTTCTTCAGTTTGAACGAGAAATAACATTTTTTGTTAGAAAGAGATGGAGTACTAAACTCAAATGCACTAATTTATACCTTATAGGTGCTCAAAAATTCTAAGTTTTTGACAAATGTGATGCGTGAAATATGGTTAATAGATGCGTAGAGTTATCGGTGTTAGGAGAGTATAAATAAACTAGCATCGATAAATTGAGATCCTTATTTTTTGTTAAGAATACGAGGATCCTCTAAAATGTCAATAACGACATTTGAGCGATAATTATTTTCTTTGTTTTCGGCCATTTTCACCGTCACTGAGCCGCTTTACCACAACTACGATGCTTTTTCGTCCTATTCCTTTTCGTAGAAGTGACCTGAAAGGTTTTTTTTTGCTTTAGGACCGAGCCATGCAGCCAGAAACTAGGTTGGTATTTTTATATATCTAATTATGGACAAACACACGACGTCACAACATCCATGGCGAAGGCGAGATTCGAACTCGCGGCCCGGCCGGCCGGCTGATCAGTAGCACGACACTCTGACCCACGCGGCCAACCGAGGTCCCGATGTATATCTCATTTTCTAAATTTGTTGCAATTACAATACTGTCTCACCCAGGGGCGTACAAAGTAAACATGTTATTTCTGATTATTTTGTTAGCCCCTTTAAAGTTGGGACTTTCCTTTTCTTAGCACATAGTTTTTTTGAACGAAGGCACACAATAGCGAACTTGTCGATATAATGTGAGCTGCATCACATCGTTTTCTTTTTATATTTTCATCCTGTGTACATTATTGTGTGTACACAATTGGAGACTTAAACAACCCACTTCAAAGAGTATTTATTAGTATCATGTCACAGTGAACGGTAATAATTTTCTCCGATTTTTGTTTCTTGTTCTGTTGTTTTCTGTTATTTTTTTTTCTGCATATAGGCTTCGTTATCTTGAATAAGAAGTCTAAACCTTCAGAGCACTATGTTTTTTCACGAAGCAGTTTTTCAAATATCATCATTGGACATAAAACTTTTGAAATCATCTAAACGACCGTCCTTTCAGTTTTGGTCATGTGAGCCCCGACATAGCATTTCTAAGAACAAAAACAATTGAAAAACATCCAGCACACCACGGAATATCATTTCATTATTAAAAAAAACTGCGTCAAGTAAGTTGACTCTGCACTTACCTCGCTACCCTGCCACCAGTTCATAAACGATTACGTTTGCACAGGTGAGTCCCTCTTAGAAAAAGGTTAACAACGAACATGTACAACAAAGGAATAAATATATCAAGTCAGTTAAATAGACCTATGAGTATAGCTTGGGATATCTTGGTAACGGCCAGCTTACGACAAGTTTATATTTTATTTTTGTAGACACTTATGTCATTTTAAGTCCTAAAGGCAAATATTCTGGAAAATCTATGAGTGAAGTATGTCTAATGGGTGCTTAGAGATACCGGAGGAAGCGTATAAATATACTTATCATATAAACTAAGGTATACACCACCCACCGCAACCCCATGCTCAATTTATACCCCAAAAACATTTCCAGTAACATATCTAATAAAGGAGAAAAAAGAGGCTTATAAATAAATCAAGAGAAGACTAGCATCTTATGGCCAGAGTAGCCAGAGAAGTCAAGAGTAATATTAATGAAATCAAAATAGGAGAATACCGATTTGAAAGAATATCTCAGTTCAAATATTCAGGGGTGTTAATGATCGACAATAATGAAAGGTCAGCGGAAATCACAGAACGGATACCGATGGGTAACGGAACATGATGTACCGCTGACTACTACAGGATAGGAATATAAGTAAACAAACCACACTAAGGTTGTACAAAGTTGCAATAAGGCCAGTATTGTATATGGATCTGAGACCATATGTACGCTTAACAAGCAAATAACTGGAGAGAGGAGTGCTAGAACGCAAACTTATCCAGAGAATTCTATGAACGACGGGCTCACGCCACTGAGAAATGAAGAAAAAAATGTAGTGCTGAATTGAAAATATATTTTAAGTAAACAAGTAAGATTAGCAGACAAAGTATGTACAGACATAGAAACCCGTGGAATTAGAAACTGGAGAGAACATTGTAAGAATAGGAAAGGCTGGAAAAGGGTGGCAAATAGTGTCAAGTCACATAAAAAAATATAAAAGAAAAGAGTCAAGAACATGCGGAGTGGTTACCCGCATTTAATGAATCAGAAGAGCCCAAGTAAGGCAGCCATCATTCTCGTAGGAATGCGAACGCCATTTACCAATAATCCTTTTCGTCTTTGGCAGAGTAGTAACTTGGGTCAAAAGTCGATCAAAATGGGAGCAGTACTTCCAAGTTGTATGACGCCTAATGATCCATGAACAGGCCGACAGAACGACAGAAAGATAGACAGACCAAAGGAAATAGGTAACATGGTTTTTCGGTATGAAACACCCTAACTCTAGTTTGTGCATGACATCTCTCAAATCAATTTCGCATTCTATTTTCGTTCCAGCATCGATCGTTCACTCTTTGTTAGTCGCCACCCTCTGACTAATAAAAGTAAATCGTATTTTTTGGATGTGTGTGGATTTGTTCAATCAGCAGTTCCCGTTCCAGTTCCCGTGATAACCAGTGTTCGCTGGTGTTCCCGCCTACTAACTTGATTACCTGATACCGTGATTTTTACAGCAAAATTTCCAGCACACGGTTTCCGACTAACCTCATGTTAGCGTAACTACGAGGGGTACTAGAAAAGAAATCTGTCCAACTATGAAGGAACGTACTATTTTTTTGATGATTTTATTTTCCAATTTAGCCTCCTCCATCCATGCACTTGCGCCGGTTCTCCTCCAGTATGAAATAATGTTTCCTCCTGGCTCTTAAAAAATCGATGTCTGGTTTAAGACCCTCATCTGAGTCAAAACGAAATCCTGGAAGATTCTTCTTTAGTAATCTAAAGAGATAAAAGTCAGACCGAGCCAACTCCGGATATAGGGACGATCGTCCATGGCAATGATCAAAACTGTGTTTATGCACAACCAATTTTGGCAGTGATATGCACAATCGCTTTGTCATGTACGAGCCCCTTCCCACTTGAGTTGGCCCACTTAAAGATTTTTACCAAAATATGCCTTTATAAACTAAACATGACGAAATTATTTACTTCTAAAACAATTTATTTTCTCAAAAACATTTTAGATACACTCTAGTCGTAAAAATATATATTTGAAATCACTTAGACCTATAACTAATAGAACATCTGAACAAATAAACAATGTGCGAATAAATGCGCGAAGTTAACAAAGCAACAATTGAAAGATTACGATTGGGTAACATCACGTTTATTTTTTATTACGGCTGAAATTCTTTGGGACATAGTGTTAAACAAGTTTTGGTAAAACTGTGGTGTAAAACAATCCCATATTTCTTGAAGCTTTTGTCTCAATTCGGTGATTGTACGAGCAGGATGTTGTCGTAGAATCTTTTTCATCTCGTGCCACAAAGTTTCAATAGGTGACAGATCTGGACTGCTAGAAACCCATTTCAAAAGTGGTACATTATTTTCTTCCATCCATTTTATAGCCTTTTTTGAGTCACCATCTTGCTGAAAGACAAAATCTTGGCCGGATGTCAAACATTCTTCCATCACTGGTAAAAGCGATTCTTCTAAAATTGCCAAATATTAGTTTGTATCCACATTTGCATCAATAAATTGAAGTTTTCATACTCCTTTTGATGACATACTGCCCCAGACCATAATGGACGCTGGAAATTTCACTTTTCTCTTCAGACAGTCAACATGGAATGCTTCATTTTTTTTGCGAATAACTCTACTGTGACTGTCACCAACACAAACTTCGAATCGGGCCTCATCACTAGATTGTATTGCACACCATTGTTGAGGTGTCCATTGTCTATGTTCTTTAGCCCATCAAAGCCGATTTTTCTTTTGCAGTGGAGTTATTAGTGGCTTTACTTCAGTTTTTTTTTATAAGAAAACTTACCTTGCAATTGCTAAATCCCAGTTTGTGGGCCTGTCTATGAGTTGTGGACCTCGAAATTCTCCTTCCAACAGCGTCACTCCACAGAGCACTTAATTGTAAATAATTGGTACGCCTGTTTTTCACGATTATTCTTAATGCTCTTCGATCGGCATTTGTGATATTAGTTTTTTTCACATATCGTGGCTTAATATTAACTGAAACAGTAACGTTATATCTTCTAACAATATTTCTCACACTGTACCGCGATAAGTCTAACAAAGTTGCAATGTCATGGCTTCTAATTCTCACAGCCACCTATGCGTTATAGACTTATTATATTATATTATAAAAATATTCATTGTTAATATTTTAAACCTATAACACCCTGCTAAATTTTTTTATTTGTGTTTGATAAGAAAAAAAGTAAGATTTCAATAGTTGGGCCATCTGAAGTGGGAAGGGGGTCGTAGAAGGAACACTTCTCTATCGGGTCTTTTCTGCATGATTGCTTTACGTAAGCTTTCCAGCGAGTTCGCATGTATGTTACAAACAATTTTCCATCAGAGGGTTGGAGACGTTTTGTAAATCCGCTGCTTCATCTTGTTTTTTGTTTTGTGCCAAAAAGTCGAATCGTTGGTCAAAGTTTTCAACTGATTTACTGAAATTCCCAACCTACGCAATATTTGTTCAAATGTCAATAGTCCTGGAATCTACCATGTTCAAATTATCGTGCAAGATTGTTATTGGTAGATATTGATAATGGTAGAGACCTTCACATGACGATCTTGGAGAACCATGACTTCAACCTTTTGACTCATTTAATCATTTATTGCTGTTTTGGGCATCGTTTTCTATGGATCCATGCCCACATTGAAACTTTTTGGACCAAAATTTTATTGTTCAATATGATGGTACATCATCCCCATAGACGTCGACCATTCTCTCAAAAAATGTTTTCAGCAGATATTCTTGTAAAAACACTGCGATACTCTAATTTTGAGTTGTTAATTTTTCCTCACACTTCAGTTTATAAATTGGCAACTAATATTAACTTAGGTGTTGCAAATAAGCGTAGAACGCGTGTATATGATTTTACTGGTTAGAGGTTACTGTCCTAGCACGGTGGTGTGTGCCCACGAGTCGGAGTGGTGCAACTAGAAAGCGACTGGAGATCAATCACTTGAACGCCGCCGCCGCCGCCGAATTTGCACGGCGCTCTGCGCTCTGTGGAATCGTGGTGTAGGGAAGTCGATCTTTCTGTTAATGCTGATAAGACCGAGCTGATCCTATTCACTAGGAGAAGAACACTTGACGGGCTGGTCATGCCGACCTTCTTTGGGGCTAGATTAATTTTGTCCCAGTCAGTGAAATATCTGGGAATTATCCTGGATTGCAAACTGAACTGGAGAGAGCATGTTGAATACAAGGTTAGCAAGGCTCCCAATTCAATGTGGGCCTGTAGACGTGTAAACCCAAAGTGGTATACTGGCTCTACACGACGATAGTACGTCCATCTCTCTTGTACGGCTACCTGGTCTGGTGGCCTTGCAATAGAACTGAGACAACTAAGGCCAAACTCAATAAAATTCAGCGTTTGGCCTGTATTAGTATTAAAAGCGCAGTGCGAACAATGCCATTCAGTGCAATGGAAGCTCTGTTGGATCTCCCACCGCTGGATCTGGTGATCCGCGGTGAAGCGAGAGTAGTCACTCATAAACTATGGAGTCAGGGCAGCTGGGCTTTCTTGAATCCTGTCAAGGGGCATACTGCCATCTTTGTCGATTTGCAAAAGGAGGACCCTGTCCTTCTAAGCTGGGGTGATCGTATTACCCCTAATTATCGCTTCAACCGCAAGTTTATTGTGGAGTATCCAACGAGGGAGGAGTGGGACGCCGGTAGCTGGGGACTCTCCGGAGAGAGCGGGTAGGCCTGGTACACGGGCGGCTCGGTCACCGAAGAGGGCTCAGGTGCTTGGGACTCCGGGCCTAGAACTAGGCTATCTCTGCCTCTCGGTCGATACACCACTATTTTCCAGGTGGAAATCTTTGCGATTCTGGCTTGTGTATCTCACATTCTCGAGGAGGGTGTGTCTAGGAGAAGAATAACAATCTTATCCGACCGCCAGGCTGCAATGAAAGCAATAAGTGCCTTTAAGATTACTTCGAGTCTTGTATTGCAATGCAGGGAGGCTCTGGATTGCCTCGCAGCGAGGCATCCCGTATCGTTAATGTGGGTACCGGGGCACGCTGGGATAAGGGGCAATTAGACAGCGGACACTTTGGCGAAGACAGGATCACCCAGCAAGTCCGTTGGTCCTGAGCCAGCTCTAGGAGTGACCGCGCATAAAGCTAGGAGGAAAATGGAGACGTGGGTTGCAAGACAACACTCTCAGACATGGAGAAGTATCTGCAGACATCTCCGCCAGGCACGGGAACTCATTGAAGGGCCCAGTGCTAAGGATGGACGTTTCTGCCTATCTCTGGATAGAGCCAACCTAAGATTGCTGGTGGGACTGTTGTCTGGCCATAACACGTTAAGGCGCCACCTGCACGTAATGGGGGTGGCTGAGGATCCCTTGTGTGAACGCTGCGGGGTAGAGGAAGAGACCTCGGTACACGTTTTGTGTCGCTGTGAAGCTCTGAGCTACTATAGGCAGACTATACTGGGGTCCATTACTTTGGACCTTCAGGACGTCAAGGAGCTTGGACTCAAGGCGATTCTCAACTTCGCTAAAAGGGCGAGGCTTGTGATCTAAGGATTGTAAAGGTGCATAAGGGCCCGCTTAAGCGGCCAATGCACTGGCTCCTTATGGTGGCCGGAATGCCTCTAATTTCAAGATTCATTCATTCATTCACTTGAACGCCGCCGCCGCGCCCACTTTTCCCTTCTCTCAAGTTGATTGTGAAACATACTCGCTGTTGCGGATGCGTTCATCCGAAATTCGTATATCCATAATTAGGTAATAATATGGCGTTAAGGTATTTTGAAAACTTCAAAGTTTGTGCGAGGCTGCGGTAGAAAACCTTTCTTAATTGATAGTTAATTTTTTTCTGACTTCTCTAACTTAATCTTACAACCCCTTTGAATACATATAAGTTGAATCTTCAACGTGCATGTATAGTAATTGTGATACCTACTTACCAGACTGGATTCGTCAGGTGATGCGAGGCTGAGTAACAGTACGCTCACGTTCACAGTCAATGATTCTGTAACAAAAGAACATGAGTAGGAAAAAGCTGTATTTTTCACAACATTTGTAACATGCTCATAGAGGCAGCTACTGTACACAGTGTGTGATCCAGAATCCATAGTTGGACGCTCAAGAAGACGTTTCATGAAAACCTGTACGTTCATAAGTTCAGTATCAAACTAAATTAAAAAACTGTGTGTCATGTCTTGAAGCATCGATACAAATTTTGGTTCCTCTCTCTTACCCATTATCAACTGCGATTGAAACTATGTTGAGGATCCCGCTTAAATTATTGTTGAAGTTGTACTAATACAATATCAAATTGTTAGTGAAAACCTGTCAACTCTTTGGTTGCTCAAATTCAAAACAAAGTGCCTTGATTTATTCCATCGTGTTACCAAAAGCAGAGCTGAAAGTATAGGTTTAATTTATTCCTACTATGAAACATTGTCCTCCTCTTCTGGGACCTAAGACACTGTATACAGTATTATATCCGTTGTTCTTCTTACACAAACTTCTTTTGCTATTGTCGAGTGCAACATTCATGCGTGCTAAACAGTGGTAAAAAGTAAATATTTGAAGTGACAATGCAAAAAGACATATGTTTTTGGGTGAGTGTAATGTCGGTATCTTTTATTCCTTTTGATATTCGTGATACGAGCACAGATTTCAATTGGGTGTTGAAGTTGTGGGCTAGAAATGCTGTTGACATTCTCATTTCATCTTCTCATTATAAATTTCCAGTCTTTGTCCCGTCAAAATATCGTGATATTCCTAAGAAGAACAAATATCACCAGGATAAAACAAATACAGGGTGGCCCATAAGTCCTTTGAGCTGGAAAAAAAGGAATAAAACCAAACTAGTTACATTATGAAGAATTATTATATTTTGTTATCATCTTTATTGAATGGGAATTATGTTTTAAAAATCACATCGTCTAAATGCAATCCATTACGATCACGGCACTCATATAAACGACGTCTAAAATTGTCGGTGACTGCGCGGCAAGTCAACACTGTAATGCTTGCCATTTCTCTTCGGATATTTTCTTTCAGGACATCAACTGATCGCGGAGTGGTGTCGTACACTTTACTCTTGAGGTAGCCCCATAAAAGGAAGTCCATTGGGGTCAAATCTGGACTACGTGGTGGCCAGGAAATGTCTCCTCTTCGAGAAATTACTTTGCTGGGAAAAAGTTGACAGACGACGGGCATAGAAGTGTTGGAGGTGTGGGCAGTTGCTCCGTCCTGTTGAAACCAGGTCTGCGTATTATAGCCTGGAAAATTCTGCAACGCTGGTGTCAAAAACTCTTCTATCATTGCTACATACCGCTCCGAAGTAACAGTTAATGCGCGACCTATGTCGTCCTCAAAAAAATAAGGGCCTACGATGCCATGCGCTGACGAAGCAGCCCAAACTGTAACTTTAGGGCTGTGTAAGGGCTTCTGATGCTTACGCCTTGGATTTTCGGGGCTCCAATAACGGCAATTTTGTTTATTTATATGCCCGTTTAAATGGAAATGAGCCTCGTCCGAGAACAACACATTATTGAGCGAAGAAAATCGATTCAACATTTCATTCGCAAAGTTTAGTCTCTGAATAGCGTCATTATCTTTTAATTCCTGCACTAACTGAATTTTGTAAGCGTGCAGACGTAAATCTTTCCTTAAAATCCGCTGTAAAGATGTTCTGGATACGTTTAGTGCACTGGAACGCTTACGAGTAGACTGGGTAGGATTTTGACGAACAGACTGTGCCACAATGTTGATGTTTTCTTCAATACGAGTTGTCCTTGGTCGACCCAACCGCTGTTTATCTAACGTCGAACCAGTCTCTTCGAACTTAGCAACCCAGTTCTTAATCGTTTGAGCTGTTGGACACTTTGTAAAATTGTGTAAATTGAGGTATTCTCGATATTTACGCCGCGCAATGGTTGCCGAATCATTATTTTGATAAAACGCGCGCACACAAAAAGCACGATCCGCTCCAGTGAAACACTCCATGGCGACTGAATTCCCAGACTCTGAAGATACTGCCCCCACCTCGCCCGCGCCTCTCACGCTCACCCGTTAAATTTTATTCAAATTTGAAATTTCAAAGGACTTATGGACATACAGGGTATTATTAAAATGGAGCATAATTTTTTGTCTCAGCAATACGGTGATCATATGCCTCAACCTTAAACATTCCAAAAATATATACAACCAGACTGAAGTAACTGAAGAGAATGCAAATATAATGGTGCTATCAAGAGAAATCTAGAGACACTTCTTATGTCAAAATCCATCAAGCCGCTTAAGTTTAAGCTGTGACCCGTAGAATACGAATTTCAAATTTAAAATAATAAATGAAAATACATCCTTTTGATTTTATGAAATTTCAGTATACCAAGTGTTACTCACACTGTCAAGACACGTCTAGAAACACCTCAAATGTCAAAGTCCATCAAGCCGTTAATGGTGTAGCCCGTATAATAGTGATTTCATGATTGAACTTAAAATCTGCCATTCTGCTTTTATAAAGTTTTGATATAGTCACTGCCACTAGTATGGCTAAGACTAATCCAACGAAAGCTCATATGTTAAAACCTTGCAAGGGTCATGGCCAAGATCAAGATGGCATCTAATAACGCCTTCCTCAACGGTTTTTAAATGAAATACTCACTTCAGTATAACAATTCTCCTGGTATTTTTCCGAGGGACTACAACTGACACAAGCATCAGTTTTGCAAATCGGACAAGCTTCCTCTTCATATTTCCAGAAATAAATCATAGGATTGTTTTGTCGCCATGCGAATTTCTGTTCAGAAAAGTGATGCTCAATTTTTAGACAAAATGACTTGGATCCGTTTTCCATATACTTTGTGCGGGGTCCTTTACTTCCCACGCGAACCTAATAATTTAATTGTGTAATCCAGCTTAAATTAATAGACGTTCAATGTCACCTATTTAGCAAATATTGTGGTTTTGGTATTCCAGCAAGTAATTGTCGAGATGTTATATAAATTTACTAAGCGTCATCAAAGTCCTTGAATATAGCTATTTATCCGTCTTGATCTTGAGCCTTCTTGAGCTATTAAGTCAGCAAGCCGTCGTCGATGTAAATATTCAGTAGATTAGAGGCAGAGTCGGGGGCTCCTTATGTTTTGTCGCGATATCGGATTACAAAGCAGCGAAGCGGTAAAGAGGATTATGCTACGAGCCATCTAGCAACAGCGATGGATAAACAAGTTTCAAATTCAGAAATAATATTGGTAAGGACTTAATAACAATAGCAACAATGAAGATAAGTTTATCCATGTATTAACAATTAAACTATATCAAACGTTGATACGTAATAAACGTAAACTGGAGAAGAAGAATTAATTGTGTGTGGGGAAAAAGCAGCTTATATCAATTCTTGTGTTCGCATACTTCAGTATGCACACTTGTAAGCGAGATGTACACTCCTACCAATTCGTTATGAGAAAATGTGTAAATAGTTAGTAAAAATAGGTACCTTTGCGCAGATGGATGTTGGTCGTTTGAGTGCGGGTCAACTATTATACGAGGTTTGTAAATTAAATGACCAGACTGGCAACACTCGAGGTACTGAGCTTAGAGGGGAGACATGGGAACATGTGATCCGCCTTCAGTACAAGTTTGAACTCGTTCGAGCCATTTGGTTGTCGTTAGCGATTTTTTTCCATTGTATTCTATGAATGGCATCAATTTCGAGCACTGGTGTGCTAAGATTTTTTTTTTGATTCAGACTTGATTACAGTGCAACTGAAATTCTTGCTAAACTTCGGAGATGTGTTTTGTCAAGAGCCCAGATTTTGCGGTGATTTTAGGCATTTTCAGGAGGGAGAGAGTATTAAATATGAACCACGAGGCGGAAGGCCTTCATCTATCAAGAACCGATCAAAATATTAACAGAATCCGGGATCTTATGCATTCAGATCGTCGGTTGATCGTCAGAATGATCGGGTAAGAGTTAAATTTGACTTACACCACCGTTCATCAGATCAAGAACAACTGGGTGTTGCATTACGATAAGGCTCCTTATCACACAGTAATGTCAATAACAAGTTTTTGGTCAGTAAAACATTTCTATGACTCCTCAGCCTCGTTATTCGCCTGACTTAGGTCCTTGTGACTTTTTTATGTTTCCGAAGTAAATTCATTTTGAGGTAGTCGAAACCATTCAAACGGCTGTAACCAACTAGCTGAAGGCTATTCTAGTATCGGAGCTCCAGCACTGCTATGAGGAGTGGAAGAACCGTCTCCAGAGCTGTATGGCTTCAGAAGGAAGTTATTTTGAGGATGACAATATAAAATTGTAATTTTATTTGAATAAAAAATTAAAAAATCAGTCTCATCATTTAATTTACAGACCTCGTAGAAACGTCGTATTTTTAATTAATGTTTTAAGTTGAAATTAACTATTCAAGAGTCTTAGTTCCTATTCACATAATAATGTATAATGAATTATTTGGTAAATTCTTTCTTCATATTGCCTTTTTAATGAAACGTTAATTAAGCACTTTATGTATCGTAAATTTTTCATCTGAATTTCATTATTCACAGTAGCCAGGGCTTGGTAGCTACGGTCAATTATTTAATAACGGAGAGTGTTAATATATAAACTCTTAAGGTCTCTTTATGCTGTAATAAGAAAATATATCTATTCAAATGCGAGTACTATATGAATAAGATTTACATCTTTATAGACTTAATTCAGTGTCAGAGGCAAAAATATATATAGTATTCCAAACGAGGAATATACAACGCACTGGGTGTACAATATGGTCTTGAAAAAGTGACTCTAAAGATATGCAAAAAGTCTAGTGCTTTCGATACCAAGCGATTACATTGAATACGAAAATATACAACTTATTAATCGTGAAATTGATGACCGAAATTTCTGATATTGACACTGAAATCTTTCTTTATTTTCTTAATGTTGGCTAACGGAGACTGTCTCTTCAATCATCCTGGACTAAATTCACAAGTAATCGACTAGGAATGGCGTTG